GGTCGGATGGACCGGTGGCACCAGTGCTCAGCAGCCTCTGTCAGAGCGCCCCAGGGCAGCTGTGGCTACATCGTATCTCATCCCCACCAGTGTGTGAATGTGTGTGTGAATGGATGAATGACTGATTGTGTTGTAAAGCTGCTGGGGGAGTTCCAGGACTCTAGAAGGCGCTATATCAAATGCAGGCCATTTACCATTTTACCAAAGCACTTTTAAACAAAGAGGTCAGAAGATCCTTTAGATGCAGCAGATGGACATGGAAACAGGTTTTCTCCCACAAGCGCTCAGTTTTCTGCACTGGCGCTTCAGGCTGCAAATGCTGAAGGGATGGGGTGAACCACCTGTAGCAGCATAACTGAAGGGATGAGCCAGGAGAACTCAGCATGTCTTCTAGCAGTCTTTGCTTGTACGTACCTACAAACTCAGAAGGTGTGAAACAACTAAAATCCAGTAGGGGGTCTGCATAAGTAGACACTCACAGCAGAAACTTGGATAAAGACTAATCAACCTTTTCGTTAACGAGTAAAACATGAGTTGAGAAATGAAGATGGGAAAGATGCGAGGACAGGACAACAGACCCTGCTTCACCTCTCAGTAATGTGGACTCTGATTGATTCTCATCTTATTTAGTCCCACCTGTTCCATTTGCAGAGAGGTTAAATGTCCGTTTTACGGCACGTGTCAGTGCCGACGCTCTGGCACAGCGCGTTGCCTCCCGACGCGCAGGAGCTTCTCACCTGCTGACAGCAGGCTGCTGTCTTTTCCGAGGGCTGCATCTTGCCGGTCATTATCACGTGACAGCGACTAGTCGATGACAGGCATAACAAGTCACTATAGAGCTAGCTGTTGTTTAAATGAGCTCCCAGTAACGTCACCATGGGCCGCTCCACCCAACACTGGCATCAGCAAAAGACCACACACAAGTCCTTACTCGAGACCTGTTTATTAGATCTGCTTGTAACTCAGGTTAACTTGAACAACTTATTTGTTTTATTTTTATCAATTTTGTGTCCTTTGTTGTCATCTTATCTGACCTGTATCTGTTGTGTTTTATCATTATTGTGTTGTCCTGCTACTTTACCTCATTTTATTGGTTGTAGTTTTAATGTCTGTTTTTGTTTTTGAGCAGTGCTTTTGGGTTGCTTGATCCACCGTAAATGTGCTACGTAGATAAACTTGACTCGGACCTTTTACAGACACGCCTGCATTAGCAGGGGTAAGTCTGCCGCAGCAGAGGAGAGCTAGCACGACTGGATCTGGAGTCTTATTTCCTGATCATCTCTCCTCTGATTGGCTAAAAGCAACAACTCTGTCACTGACTCTGTTTGCTCTGCAACTTGATGCTTTATCTCCACAAATAACACAAGCCTGGAGGAGTTCTGCTGTGTGGTGGAGTTGCTAAGGCTAACGGTTAGTTTCTACTAGCCAAGACGTTATGTGCTGTTTCTCAGGACTGGCAACTGTCACGTATTGAGCATGAAACGCATGCATCCAACCCCTTCACACTCTCATGGAAAAGTTCAAAGTTGGCAGCCCTGGATTCTGGAAGCTAAACTAACAACAGCCTTCCCCGTTGGGAGTACAGATGGGTGAGTCCACGGCCCTTCTTTGAAGAGACACCATGTCGGCAAACCAACGTAACACTGCCACCATGATGTTGTGGGTTTTGTGACATTCCCACCGCTTGGTAGTAACATTGCCGCAACGCCAGACTTGTGAATGCATATTGGCACAACAGAGAGGTGTCACGATCACGTGGGGAGTTACTGCCGAGCTCTGACCCGCAACTATGTTGAAAATGAAAGTGGACATGGGCTGCACGTTTCACTTTTTAAACAGGATCAGAGGGAATCAGATGATAAACTAGAGCGATGCAGAACTCCCACAGCTTCTCTCTGTTAGAGCTGGAGGTCGGATCACCAGACAGTTCACAGGGACTGTGACGGACAGACACCTTTAGGAGCGGCTTGTTAAAAATACTCAACAAGCGTGGCTTTGATTGCAGTAAAAATACAGTTTTGTCCAAGATAAATGGAAGACTGTGGCAGCGCTGAGGCCGCCCACATGACCACTTCATATCGCCATTTTTTGTAAAAAGGACACGATTGCGCCACATTACTGATCTGACCACTTATAAACGAGTTAAGGCTTCCAGATGCCGCCACGGCGTTGCGGCAAATTGACTGCATTATTTTCTAAAAGGGGCCCATGAATGTTAGCGACAGTGTGACGTAGATCCATCAGCTTATCGAATCCGAGAGTTTCACCGTCTGTTTTCTATCAGAAGCTAATGCAGGAGGTAGGTGTAGGAGACTATTTTCATGTTCAGCCTGCATGTTAAACTCAGAGTGACTGATTAGACTCAGTAAAAATGGATTTTTCAGTGAACCACACCTTTAACGGTGTGAACCTTTGTGACGCATATTCAAAATCATTCTTCAAAGTCGTGACCAAAAAGTGCAAAAACGACTTGAAGGTCTTTTTTCTTAGTATTTATTTGTTCATTGAGTTTTATTACAGTTAACGCAACAATGCTAAATATAATTTCAGTAATTTGACGCTAACTATTCCAGAAACACGTCACATGTGCAACTGGAGACTTCCTTCCAAGTAACACTGGTCTGAAACTTTTGTAACAGTAAACAAAACAGGCCTTTTTACAACAAGTGCCCACTTCCTTCGCCGTGAAGTTTTTTTCTCAGTGGGAGAAATGCTCATATGACTGCTCTGTCAGCAGCGTGAATCTGGGTTTAAATGTGGTCAACACCATTCTCATGCACACATGAAGGTGTGTGTCCGTTAGCCCGAGCCTTGGTCTGGACGTTGCTCCTAACAGAAAATGCTGCCTCAGTTGCAAGTCGGTCCAAACGTGGTCCGAGTGTGCAGGGCTGCATGAGTAAGGTCGGGTAAACCAGCACTGGCAGGGTCACAAGCGCCAAAACGCTCTGAGTGCAACATCTGCTTGCAGGCCACAGAGAGAACCAGCTTGTGCTCATTTGAAGGTCAGTGTTGCCCCATGAACAGTTAAAGTAATGATGAATATTTTTTACATGATCTCACCCATGAGGATCCCTGGCTTCTCTGAAAAGGTCATTCGTGATCAACACGAGTTGTTCTCCAAGACAGAAGCTGTCGAACTTTTGACAGAAGCTTCTCATCAGCTTGTCTACAAAGTCAGTGAAAGCAAACTCGTCTGTCTTCTTGAATCTGCTCCTTCATAGTTGGAAAATGCGTAAAATCATCTTAAAAATCAAGTTTTCTGGAAGCATTTGGTCTGAAGCTTTAAGTGGTGTGCCTAACCCTCTCTTGACCTTCCATAACCTCGAGATCAAGGCAGACCATAGCAGGAGCAAAAAGATTTTGCTCTGCAGGTCCGTCCGACCACCACCTTCAGGGCCGGATTGTGATTGCAGGGGCCCCTGGGCATGAAAGTGGCCAAAACTGGACAGGCCCCCCAGAAAATTATTTATTGTATAAATGCAACAACATGTTGAGCAAGCTGCCATCCTAAATTCATTTAGGGTGCAGGGCGTGTGTGCGTGTGAGTGTGTGTGTGTGTGGGGGGGGGCTCCAAATGCATCCAGGACTGAGTATTGAAGGTGATCTGAACTGCATCAAATATATAAATATTACATACCTGTAAGTTGTTTAAAAAAACTGTCGTAGGCTAAATCTACCTTTTCAAGCACTTTTAGTTTTGTTTGTTCCCGTCTGTCTTTCATCTTCCTGCATCTCCGCTCAATCCTCCAGAGGAACCGCACCCCGAAGCCCTACGTCATCACCTCGTAGCTACCTCTGGACTAGGCTACTTAAAGGGATCTAAACAGGGGAGTGCAGCCGCAGTGAGACGAGGTCACTGGAGCACGAGTCAAGCACAAGTAAAAGAAAGTACCATATATGGGCAAACATGAACGATGGTGTGTTAAATAAATCATTTAGGGGGCCGTGAGGAGGCTGCAGCTGCCTGGAGCGCATCAACAATCAGCACTCTCCATCCTCTCTGCTCAGCGGCCCGCCGAGTCCGCATGAGTAATGTAATCTAGGTAGAAACTGGATCGTTTGTCAGGCTCCTCCTGGCTAAACCCACCACTTCCTTCCGGGTTAATGCATTACAACGCTGCTTACAGAGGCACAGACACAAGCCTCCACATTTCTGGAACCAAATGTTTTGGAGTGAAGAGACCAAAATGAAACTTTCTGGCCACAACTATAAATGCTACGTTTTGAGAGGGGTCAACAAGGTCATCAAAAGGGTTTTATCACCATAAGTGTGAGCAGGTTCACAGCATTAGGAAAAGGCTGTGGTAGTTGGAGCAAAAACAGGAAGCAAGAGTGCACTATTCCTACTGTGAAGCATGGAGGTGGTTCGCTGATGTTTTTGGGGATGTTACCAAAGTCCTGGGAACCTGGTCAACATTAATGCCAGGATGCAAGCAGCTGGTCGAAAAATACTGGGAGAGTTTGTGCTCATCAGCCTGAATTCTGTGCATGGATCATACTTGTGTGACAGGGTGGGACTGATCATCCGCCCTGGCTACTTGGCCAAGGGGATGTCCCTTGGGCTGACTGGTTAGTGCATGTGACTTTCACCCTGGAGTCTGGGGGTTGAATCCCACCCGGGCCCTCGTTGCTCCACCCTGCCACATTTGGATGGTCCAACAACACGACGACTGAAAACAGGAGCCAACCAACTTCAAGCTCACGAGGTAGAGCGGGTGGTCCAGTAATCGGGAGGTTGAAGGTACGAACCCGGCTCCCACCAGAGAACTCTACTGTTGTGTTCATGGGCAAGGCACGCAACCCACCTGGACCGCTGCTGGTGGTCGGAGGGGCCGGTGGCGCCTGTGCACGGCAGGCCTCGCCAGTGCACCCCAGGGCAGCTGTGGCTACATCGTAGCTACATCATCACCCTGTGGAGGCGACTCCTGGTTCGTCCAACCACTCAAGCCACCGCTGCACTGAAGAGACATTGTGAATGCAGGAATAAGAAGTCCAATGGCCATAGCTCATGTTGTTTATTTATCCAGCTTGGCAGACATCGATACAAATATCCATTTTTTCGCTTCACTTCCTGCTGCTTCTCCTGCTCAGGTAAGAAAACCCCCCACAGGCCCTCCCAGTGTGTGCTGGTCCAACACCAGTCCTTAGAAAACACAATCCCTCAGGTCTTCTTGGCTGATTCTTGAAGGCAGATGAACCTCGCCCCGTCACCCGAGTTTACCGGATTTCTAAAGAACAAATAGCTCCAACACACCGGTCTTGGTACGGGGGACTTTGTGGGTGTTGGGCTTCATGAAATCCTACAATTATTTAAATTCAACAAATAAGAAATAAAAGTTGTTTGTGGAAAAATAAAAGTCTTAAATCTGACGAGTTTCTTTAATGACTTCACCAGTGTTTGAAGACTGAGTGAACTTCTGAGGGCTTACTCTCAGCTGTTGTTTTCTCATTTGACATCTAATGAATACATTCATTTCACACCCTTCCTGTTGTGTGCTCTGCTCATCAGGATGGCCGCCTCACACTCTCCGAAGTTCTCAACAAGATGGACTACATCAAGATCAGCACCATCACAGACTATGGAGGGATGAGGGTGGATGAACATGACGAGCTGTGACCAGCTAACACTCTAGGTCACCCGACCAACTGGCAGCATGTCATTTAAAAGACTCGGCGTTATTTAGGTGGTGATGGTCGCAGCTGAAAAGAGACAAGCGACACACGCTGCAGCTGTTAAAGCGACGCAACACAACAGGTTTCCATGCTGCTACGTAAGCAGCCACTCAGAGCTCCACTTACATGTATTCCATGAAAATCTAATGTTTACATTTACCCTCCAGAATGCTACACCCGGACAGACTGTAAGCTTCACATAAAACAATAAACTCTAAACAACAACAAAAATCCCACTGAACTCCAAAAAGGTTGTGCTCTGTATGATTTGGTAAACGTCAGACCCTCGCAGCGTCCTCATCCATCTCACGCTTGCATCACTGGACGCGCCTCTTTGGCTCGGAGGTCGACTCCAGAGGCAGCAAAGCCGGTTCCACCCTGTCGGAACACAATGCATCATCAAGAAACCAAAACCATACTAATAAATATGATTAATAAACCTGTGTGTGTGTGTGTGTGTGTGTGTGTGTGTGTGTGTGTGTGTGTGTGTGTGTGTGTGCACGCGCGTGTGAAATCCTGCTCAGGAGGCGTTGCCAACGTGGCAACCTAGTGGGTAGGTTGAAAGACTTGCTAGCAGCTTTGTGCATAAGCAGTGTGAACGTCTGGCTGCAGCCGGGCCTGAAGCGGGCCCTGCACTCTAAGGTCTAACCCTAACCCCAACCCATCATCCACACTAATGTGAAGATAAGCCATTCAACTCCAACTCCAGCCAAGGCTGAGACTTACTAATTCTCTGTTGTCGGTATTTACTCGTGGACCTAAATAATCAGGGTTTCAGGTTCCACGTCGCCGCTCTGACATCACACCGTTTACACTCACTCCTGTTTTTACAGTCACTGCTCTACGTAGAAGACCACAGGCGAAGGACGACGTTAAGGACGGTTACTGGGCACCCCCTTGGTAGGGACGACCACATATTTGGGAGCTACTGGCACCCACAGGCTGAACATGAATAATGAAAATGAAAGTTTAGCTCTTGTAAACACAATCAGCAAACTGGAGCCATGCAGAGCTCCGGGAGCTTCTGCTCCTCAGACCTGAAGCCCGGTGAGCAGACAGCTGATAGGAGTGTGAAGGACCTTCTGGAGCGGCTCGCGGAAACTTAAGGAGGTGCTACTAGGAAGGAAAAACCCTTTTTGCACATGAATTTGGGCCTGACCCACCAAAAACTTCAGTGTTTCTTTATCCTTGGATGATTTTTCAGTTCAGGTTAAAAATTAATTTTCCACCAAATAAGAAGAAATCCGATGTCCGACAGACATACCCTCTGCAGCGGGATGATGTCTCGGTCAGCCAGCTGGTCTCCAGACACAGGATCCACCATGTCCTTCTTGATCAGCTTCTCCACACACTCCTGAGTCACCACTGCTCCCCTAAAACAGGACAGTGTGTGCTGGGTTAGGGTTAGCACACCTGACAGGTAAAGCATCAGAATGGAGCTGGTACTCACGAGGGTCTCAGGACCGCACAGGGGACACTGTTGCCCAAAGCATCTCTGGTGACTGCACACACGTACCGTTCCTGAGGACAGACGGCAGCATTTTTACCACACCATGACAAAACCAGACCAGTACCTGGGTACCAGACCAGTGCCTGGGTACCAGACCAGTACCTGGGTACCAGACCAGTACCTGGGTACCAGACCAGTGCCTGGGTACCATACCAGTGCCTGGGTACCAGACCTGGGTACCATACCAGTGCCTGGGTACCAGACCTGGGTACCATACCAGTGCCTGGGTACCAGACCAGTACCTGGGTACCATACCAGTGCCTGGGTACCAGACCTGGGTACCATACCAGTGCCTGGGTACCAGACCAGTACCTGGGTACCATACCAGTGCCTGGGTACCAGACCAGTACCTGGGTACCATACCAGTGCCTGGGTACCAGACCTGGGTACCATACCAGTGCCTGGGTACCAGACCTGGGTACCATACCAGTGCCTGGGTACCAGACCAGTGCCTGGGTACCAGACCAGTACCAGGGTTCCATACCAGTACTTGGGTACCAGACCAGTGCCTGGGTACCAGACCAGTGCCTAGGTACCAGACCAGTACTTGGGTACCAGACCAGTGCCTGGGTACCAGACCAGTACTTGGGTACCAGACCAGTGCCTGGGTACCAGACCAGTGCCTGGGTACCGGACCAGTGCCTGGGTACCGGACCAGTGCCTGGGTACCAGACCTGGGTACCATACCAGTGCCTGGGTACCAGACCTGGGTACCATACCAGTGCCTGGGTACCAGACCAGTGCCTGGGTACCAGACCAGTACTTGGGTACCAGACCAGTACTTGGGTACCAGACCAGTGCCTAGGTACCAGACCAGTACCAGGGTACCATACCAGTACTTGGGTACCAGACCAGTGCCTGGGTACCAGACCAGTGCCTAGGTACCAGACCAGTACTTGGGTACCAGACCAGTGCCTGGGTACCAGACCAGTACTTGGGTACCAGACCAGTACTTGGGTACCAGACCAGTGCCTGGGTACCGGACCAGTGCCTGGGTACCAGACCAGTGCCTGGGTACCGGACCAGTGCCTGGGTACCGGACCAGTGCCTGGGTACCAGACCTGGGTACCATACCAGTGCCTGGGTACCAGACCTGGGTACCATACCAGTGCCTGGGTACCAGACCAGTGCCTGGGTACCAGACCAGTACTTGGGTACCAGACCAGTGCCTAGGTACCAGACCAGTACTTGGGTACCAGACCAGTGCCTGGGTACCGGACCAGTGCCTGGGTACCAGACCAGTGCCTGGGTACCAGACCAGTGCCTGGGTACCGGACCAGTACTTGGGTACCAGACCAGTGCCTGGGTACCAGACCAGTGCCTGGGTACCAGACCAGTGCCTGGGTACCAGACCAGTGCCTGGGTACCAGACCAGTGCCTGGGTACCAGACCAGTGCCTGGGTACCAGACCAGTACTTGGGTACCAGACCAGTGCCTGGGTACCAGACTAGGGTGTTACTATTATAAAGAACAGGAAACAAAACAAACACCTCAAGCTTACAGCTGCAGGACTTCAAGTCCCAACAGCACATCTGTTTAGCTGGACCGGTCCGACCCGTCCTCAGGATAACGTTATGGGACTCTAGTGCGTGAATGTGGACTCACTGTTGTGTTTCATGTGTTTTTAGTGGAGTCAACAACAGAGTATTTTATTACACCCTGAAACTAAAACGGTTCCAACTGGAAAACACAATCTTACGGTCGTCGTCCTAACTGCAGGACACCGTAGGTGTTTAGTGGATCTCTTGGACTGACAGATGTTACAGAGACTCAAAGCTGCAGGCTTTCATAAAGGCTAGGTCAGTTTGATCCAGCATGAACCTGAAAAGTCAGCCTTGTGTGAACCTGACCCAGGCTAACACTACATCAGGGTTACGCGTGCTCTGCTGGTTTCTGACTCGCTCTGCAGCAGCAACCATTCAGTTATAGATGCACAACCATTGAGGTCAAAGCTGTGCTTCCATAAAGACAGGAGGGTTTGTTACACGTTAAAAACAAGGAACATCTTCAGTTTCCAGGGCAGGAACCTGCAGCTCTGGGGGAGAATCAACCCCAGGAATTAGTTGGCCCCGTTGGTTTAGTGTAGCCGCTGGATCTCCCTACATCTGGGACCGAAAACCTTTGGGGGGAGTGTTTTCCTGCTCTGGAGTTTAGAAAACAAGTAGCCTCTTAGCTCAAACGGCTGCCTCAGGAGAGGAAAATAAAGCAAAAGCCCGAAATACAAACCTTCATCTTTCACCATCAGCTGTTGTTGCTCAGACATTTCTAAATGTGTTGATGAGACAAGTCTCACGTACAGGTGGCGCTCTTCTAGCGTGCAGCTGAGGAAACTGACCTGGCGGTTCAGCAGGGCCACTCTGTCCAGGCTGGCGTCGAGCGGGGTGAAGCGCACCGGGATCAGATCGCTCATCTTAATGGGCCGTCCAGACATGGGACACAGCACGGCCTTGCTCTGACACAACCCAGAGGACAGGGTAGGGTTAAGGAGGGACTCGAGCAGCGGTAAATCACCAGACCAACTAGTCACTACTCCTTCATCACTAATAAAGAACACAGAAACCAGGTCGAGCGGGACTAAAACACATGCCGTCTTCTGAGGAGTCGTCCGACCTGCTGACGGCCCTGATCTGATGCTTCAGCTGAGCAGAACAGTCAGAAAAATTAACACCACGTCCACGTTTCCCTTAAGTTCTTTATTTTTATTCATTTCTTTCTGAATGTGTCTGCCACAAAAGTGGACCGCTGGATCAGGAAGTAGAAACGTGTTATTGTTACGATGAACGAGCCTCCGTGCAGACGAGTGTCTAACACTGCTGCAGTCAGGCTTCTCATTATTTGGGTATTTTAGTGCACCTTACTTAAAACATAAATACTCTGCCTAAAGCCGTCAGCACAGCGCCCTCTTCAGGTCAAAACTCTGCACTACGGGTGACGAGGGCAGAGGAATTAAAGGGGCCAGATCAGAAAAAATCCACTTTTTGGAGCATGTTGCCGTGTGATCGTTCCACTTCCTCATGAGAAATACCCCCAAACCCAGTTTTGGCTGCATTCATGCATTTTCCAGCCTCAGCTTATATTTAATCCTTGTGAAGATTCTTCCTGCATCCTGACCAGCCATGCTAATGCTTCCTTTTGGGAAGCAAAGGGCCTGGTAACGCTCCTGTTCAAATAGCCCCGCCCCCTGAGAATTCTAACCGTACCAATCAGCGCCGAGCAGCGTATGTCACACACTACGATGCTCGGTTTGTCATAAACAACAAAGATGGAGTCTGAAGCGGGGCTCGCTGAGGTTCTTTCCTCTGTTCTAAATGACTTGGACTTGTTTTTAAAACCACAACCAGAAGAAGCGCTGAAAGCCCCTCCTCTGAAGAAAGATGTTTGCACCGTCGCCAGACGCCATCTTTGACTACAGCTAAAACTCTACAGGGTGGTGTCATTTCCACCTTTATTCTGATTGGTTATTTTTGAGCTGGCTAGTCCCGCCCCATCACGGTGCTCTCTGCCTCCGAGTGTCCAGACTCGTCCTCTGTGCAGCCCACTTGTGTCACCCTGAAGCTGGTCTGGTCTTGGTTCTGAAACCTGGATATTGAGACAAGCCGCTTCTGCATCAGCGACAAAACACTCGTAAAAACCACGGACCCGGTCTACAAAAAGCACGTAATGCCAGCTGGGGACGAGCGTTAGGCGACTATACTTGTGTAGCAGGCTTGTAGTCCAGTGGTGAGAGGGCCATGCTGGTATGTGGTTGTGTGCAGGTTCACATCCTGGTCAGCAGTGACCTTTTCTCTTCCTGTTAGCTACACTCGTCAGTATTATTGGTAAACTGTTCAACGTATAAGAACAACATCTGTTTATCTAGCCGGCGTGAGTCCGTGTGAGGCGAGCAGATCAACTAAACTTTAGAGACTAAATGTTTTGCAGAAAATAATCAATAGAACTGACACCTAAAAACACGACGTCTGCTGCTGCGGGGTTCAAAAGAAGTCTGTTCTGATCTTCAGAAGATGTGATGGGATCATCCCCGGTTCCAGCGGCAGCTAGTCTTGCAACAGACTTGAGTTATGCCGAGTCCCAGGATAAACTAAGGTTAAGCCTCGGTGCGTGGGCTCCGGTCTGCCGAACCAAAAGGAAACTAAAGACTGAGTACATAGCAGGTTAACTACTGTATGGCCAGAACCCGTGTGGAGGTTCTGGAAATCCCACTCACCGGTTTCTTTAGGAGTGTGGGCTTGGCCTCGGGCGTCAGAGACGGGATCCAGAAACTGGGCAGGCTCTGGCTGGAGCTGCTCGCTGAGCCCGGAGTGGAGGACTCACCGGTGCTGCTCTGTGACCTGCCTGCCTCACCCTCTTTATTGTGACCTGAAAGAAAACAAGTCCTCATGTCCACAACAAGTTGTGTTATAAAGGCGAAACTAATCTGTGAGATGACTCATTCCAGGCAGATCCAGATGGTTCAGCATGTATTAGCTAGAACTGTGACGACCGTGGCTTACGGCCACCACTCCAGACTCAACGTGTCCCACTCTGATCAGCTGATGAATCCAGATGGTCTCTCAGTCTGAGCTGGATCGCCGACACAAACGCACCAGACCCTAGCCGTTGCGGTTCCACCTGTGAACGGCGTTAACTCGGAGTGCTGCAGCTTCTCACCTGATGTGAAAGGGTTGATGGGTTTTGACACGATGCTGTTCTCACTGCTTTTAAACTTTTCCACTTTCTGTCTTTCCTCAGATTTGGACTCGAGCTGGTTGTTGTTCCTCAGCGCTTGTTTCTGCTTCTCGTAGGCCTGCAAGGTCAGTGGAGATTATGTGGTAACCGAGTTAGACTGGTCAGACGGTGCCTGCTGGTCACGCTGTTGTTGGAGTTCACCCACACAAACACATTTAGCTGACTGGAACCTGTAGAACGAGCAGCGACATATGAGAAAGTCCCTTATTCCTCACACACGGGTGAAATGACATCTCTGCGTGTGACCCACCCCTGTGGGGAGCGGTGAGCTGCAGCTATGGCTGCGCTCAGGAACTACTTGGTGGTTTAACACACCCCCCCCCCAACCCCTTAAAGCTGAGTGTCAAGCAGGGAGGCGTGGCGTCCGAGTCTTTGGTATGACCCGACTGTGGATTTGAACCCTGACCTCCCAGTCCCAGGGCGGACACTCATACGTCTGGGTCACTGAGAAGGTGAAACACACTTCACTTCTTCAGACCACACAGCAGTGCTCAGCAGCTGCAGCGTGCTGCTGGTGACCTGTTGTTTGGGGCAGGATGGCACAGGGAAGGAGAGCTTTACCTATGCTCTGCTCCAGGGCTGCAGCCAGGCGGACTAAGCAGAGACGACCATGATCCATACCGACGGAGTACAGTGGACTCATGAGCAAAACCGTCTTCAGTGTGGACAGCTTTTAAAGCGGGCATGAGGTACGAGTGTGCATACTGGGCATTTAACATGGTGGAAACAACAGCCTTCAGGCACTGCCACAGCCAATCACCTGTCACCATTAAGTCCCAGTCTGACAGGAATACCCAGTTCACCGCAGCAACTCAGACAAAAACATGCACCCAGCTGACCCCGAAGGATACGGTAACCAACCAAACATTTGGTGTGACAGTCTCCTGCAGCACCTGAGCCGTGGTGGCTAGCTACAGGTGTTGCGCAGAGAAAAGTCCTCCCGCCGACTCATGACTAACGCTGACTATTAGCAAAAGAACTAGAGCATTACTAGTTTGGAAAATACTGCAGAGGCAGGCGAGTTAGTCTGAATCTGAGAGGGAAGGAACGTTTTACCTTCATCTTCTTAGCAATGTCCGTCTTCTGGTGGAGAATATATTCGAGGATGGCCTGCTTTTCATACAAGTATCCATCTGGGCTGTGGACAACACACACACACACACACACACACACACACACACACACACACACACACACACACACACACACACACACACACACACACACACACACACACACACACACACACACACACACACACACACACACACACACACACACACACACACACACACACACACACACACACAGCTATGTTAGAGGATGTGGGTGAAATGTGTCCAGAGCTAAGCAGCATTAGTTGAACTAAGGTGTGCTGGGGCACCAGTCCAGACCTACAGGTGGGTGTGGTCTGCTGATGAGTCCGGTATCAGAGAGGTCACGACCTCCTCTGTGTCTAAAGGATGTGCTGCCGCCTGCTTCAGGAGGAGGAGAGGAAGAGGAGCAGAAGAGGCCTTGTGATAAATGTGGAGATGGACTTGATGGCAGCCGAGATGAAGATCACCATGAGTGGTTTAGGTATGCAGAACTTCCTGAACAGGAAGTGAGGTAGTTGATGTCCATCTACTACTTTAGGTCCTGGTTCAGGGTGGTGTCCAGAAGAGTCCAGTGTGGAGTTGGAAAGTGTGATAGGCGCAGGTGAAGCTGAGACCATCTCCTCTGTCTTCAGAGAAGTGAGCTTTAGATTGTTCCGGTTGCACCACTTAGTAAATCTCTCAGGAGAGGTGTCCTGCACACACTTTAGGACCTTCATGGACTGATGTGTGGAGATGCAGCGGGTTGTGTTCAGGGAGACGATTAGTGGAGAAGGAAGTCTTGGGGGACCACAGATGAACCTCTCCAGCTTCACCCGCTGCTTCCTTTTGGTCAAGCAGCTGGAAGTCCTTCTGCAGATGGGAGTCAGGGTGGACCAGCTAGGAAAGCAGCAGAGTTGGAACCACCGTGTTGAACGACAAGCTAAGATCCACAAACAGGATCCTAGCATACTTTCCCAAAGAGTCCAGGTGCCGCAGGATGTAGTGGAGGAAGACCTGTCGGGTCTGTGGGTGAGCTGAAAGAGGCTCAGGAGGGGGTTGGTGATGGACTTCATGTGGGACAAAACCAGATGTTCCAAGGACTTCAGGACCGCAGACGTCAGCGCACCAAGTCTGTAGTCACTCACTCCTTTGACTCTTGTGGCACATTCACATCCGGGCCAGCCCAGCTGAGCCCCAGTAGGTTAATCGTGCTCACAACTGGGTGGTCGGATTTCTCTGTGCTCAGCCGACCCATTTCTCTAGACCTGCTTCCTGGCACTCAGCTTCATGCAAAGTGGACTCAAATACACCCACCAGTACACCATAGTCCAGGGGTGCCCAATCCTGGTCCTCAAGATCCACTATCCAGCTTGTTTTATCTCTCACCCAGCTGAGCTGCTTCAGTGGATGAATCACCTGCTGAACATCTACTCAGGCCCTGCAGAACACGGCCGATCACCACTGATCCAAACCAGGTGTGTTGAAACAGGGAAACTTCTAAGACATGCTGGATGGGGGATCTTGAGGACCAGGATTGGGCACCCCTGCGGGCTCAGGATTGGCTGGCTGAAGTTCACGCCTACCTACTAAAGGGAGCCTCTGATTGGCAGGTAGAGTCAGCCAGTGTTAGCTTCCCACATGTGCGACTGTCAGTCTGGATGCAGTGGAGTAAACGTCTGTTCTGGTCAGCGAGAAGCCGTGTGCTTCCTGTCAGAGTCTCTGGGCTGCTTTGGTTTCCCAACTCAAGGACGACACCACAGACTTCGTGCATCTTTTGCCCCGCCCACATGCTCGGAGACATCTGCGTTCCTGAGAAGGCTGTGGGAACCACAGACATCATGGTGTGAAGAAAATCTGGCTGCGCGGGGTCAGGTCGACCCAACCAAGACCGGACCGGGCCAGATGTGAAAGGCCATTGGACTCCTGGGGACTGGGATGATGGAATTCTTGAAGCAGGTTCCTACAAGACTTCCACTAGTACCGAGCTTCCCGAGTGAACTTACTTTCTGGGGTAAAAACTATTTTATCAACCCAATCAAAAAACTGACAGGAGTGATTCTGAACTGAAGGTAATAACTGACATCACAACAAAAATCGTTTGAATGGGATGAAATTACCAGATTCCCAAAAGGTTTTGTGTGATTGCCCATTTGAAAGGAACACATACGTCACCACGGGATCCTGGCACGGCTGCAGGGACAGGCAGCAGCAGTCAAAGTCTTTGATGGCGTCTTTGCCCAGCCGAATGCTCTGAGTGCCGTAACCAGACGCCGCTAAACGGGACAGAAAAGAAACACGCGTTGACACGGCTGTCTGAACCATCTCCGGCCTGTTGCTTTTGCAGCAACCTCTTTCAAAGTTTCATTTGGGTTTCATTTTTAATGCTGCTTTGCAAACCTAGATTTCATTTTTGTTTCATCAGAATTATTTTGAAATTCCACCCAGAAAGAAATCCATCTGGAGTATCTCCACCCATTCCCTAACTCCTGTGTGGTCATGTGACCTGAACTCCAGGGCTAGGGTAGATCAGTTCATATTTATGTCTCCCTCTACAACAGGTAAGATGATCACATTTACATTCCTGAAAACATTTGCTTATAAACATTCTATTTATTCACCTGTTTTATATTGGATACTGGGTTTGATTTACCTTGTTAATGTTTTGATTTTAACCCTCCCACTGTCCTAATGGGTGTGACCCCACGAGGAAAGTTGACCATTGAGCAGGGTCGATGGTTTATCCCTTGAGGTCCATGTGGCAGGGGTGAGGTGGTGCTCACTCCTGCCACATGGACCTCAAGGGATAAATCCTCAATCCTGCTCAATGGTCAACTTTCCTCGTGGGGTCACACCCATAAGGACAGTGGGAGGGTTAAAACTTGACCAGCAGCATTCACTGCAGGGAGCCAGGATCCACCCTACAACCCTCTGATTACTGGACAACCCGCTCTACCTGCTGAGCTTCTGCTGCTCCCGAATGACCCACATTAGTAAAGTTCTGATGTTTTATATTATCTAGGAGTTATCCCAGCTCCTTTCCCCGACGGCCGGTGTTAAGCTGGGCGGACACTGTGCGACTTCTTCACTCGTAGCACTCAGCTTCAGCTCAAACTGTACGACTTCCTCGCAGGGCAGACCTCACGAGTCATGCGCTCACACTGCACGTCTGGTAGCAACACGTCGGACCTAAAAATATGCTAAAAATAGCAGTTTTTACTCAACACGTCAGACTTTTTTGTCTTGTTTTGCCTGTTGTCCTTCGGGAGTGTTGCAGGAGGACACACAGGGATTTATGGGGGTTGGATGAGGAAAACGAAATAAAGAAAGTAAATCTGTGTTTTATGATCAGTTTAATTTGACATGAACACGACAAACACGCTTTCTTGACAATCTTTGTGAGTAAAAAAACGTGTAGAAACAAAAACGAACAACGTGTGTTATTAGGGAAACAGCGAGCGAGTGGTGTTGATGCAGGATTGCGCATGTGCCATGAGCGGTTCTGATACATTTTGGGTCGCAGCTGCTCGCAGCGCCGCTTCAACAGTGCGATATCCTCACGAGGGACGAGCAAACTTTCAAACATGCCAAAAATCCGTGCGAGCTCACGACTGCTGATCGGCAGCTGGTCATGTGGTGTTAATCGCCTCTCGTAACCCCCTGTCAGGGACGAAATTTTGATTTCAGAAGTGGGGGGGACACAGCAGGCTTGTGCGGATTTGGGGTGGGGGGTGTTATGTAAAGACCCCTTGACACGTCACGTGCCCATCTCAATAATTTTTCCATCCTTATTGAAGTGCAGTTTTGGCTGTTGACAATGGATAGGCCATTGCATTTATTGTTTTGGGTCTTTTTTTATTGTTTTTGGTGCAACATTTTCTAACAGGGAGTGAGATTCCTTTTTTATTCAATTTTTGTTTGTTATTTTTATTCATTTAGAAGTTCTGGTTCTGGACATTTCAATGTTAAATGAAGGTTTATTTGTTGCATTTTAAAGGGTGTACTTGCATTATTATGATATATTAACATTATATTAGTGGTTATTTTGGTCTAGATAATGTTGACAATGATATCGTTTATCATCAACAATTTGTTGGACAAAATATCGTCCAGCAAAATTTGTTACTTTCCCAGGCCTAGTCAAAAGTATAAAAATTATTTATACATAAACGGTCCCTCCTGAGATCTGGCCGTTTGTTCATTTGCTGTGTTAGAGGACATGCTGAACTAATGTTTTACACATGATCATCACCCTAACATTTGAGTGTATAAAAACATATTAAATATGTTTTTTCCCTTAAAAGTGTTTAAACAGTTGTTGCATTTCAACGCACAAAAAATAAATGGAAAAAATAAGATAAATCTAATGAAAAGAGTACATCTTTGACATTAAGCTTAAAAAAAATCTGTTGACGATGATACTGTTCATTTTTCAGAGCTTTTTAATGTGAAAATATGCATTGCAATAGATAAGTTTACAATAAAGTTAAATGATAAAAGTTTTGAAGTTACACTTCTACTACTACTACTACTAGTAATAATAATTATGATGATAATAGTAATAATAATAAAATAATAATTATAATAATACGAATAAATTGTGTCTGAGGAGTCAGTTATGTGGAGGAGATGAGTTTGTAAAAGTTAGTTTTGAGTATGTTTGTGAAGGAGGAGGTGAGTCTGAGCTTAATGCAGGGGTGTCACATGTCCAACTTACGTTTTGACTTTGAAAGAAGTCTCTTATATCCACTTTTCGTTTTCTTGACATGCTGCCTCCTGGCTGTGCCTAACTACCAAAGACTCACAAATGAACACTTATTCAAATGTTAAGTAATGGAAGCTGAGCTGAGCTCTGATATTACACAGCGTCTAGTTGACGATGTGACTCAGTACCGGTGTTCCCTAGCGGCTCCAAACTAGCAAAACAACGTGAGCACGTTCTGACTGTTTCCAACTTGAGTGACAGCAGCAACAGCCAATAATACGTTAGCAAGTATCAGCAGAGCCAATAGATTAGCTTTTGGGCGGGTCTAATAGTAAAGTGGTTTCCGTTTCGGTCCTAGTGCTCAACCAAATCCATTTAATGGAGCGTAACATTGTTTTCGGACGGAAAAAAGTGCAGGGGACCAAAACTGCCTTTTGAAAAAGTGGGGGGGACATGTCCCACCCGTCCCCCCCCAAAATTACGTCCCAGCCCCCTGTACACTACACGACCGCTCGGCGCAAAACTCGCCCCGATCTCGTGGATTCTCGCACGAGTGGAAAATCGGCTCAAAAAGTGAAAAGGTCGCACAGTGTACGCCCGGCTTTACGTTGATATGTGTTCCCCCCTCGAGATCTGTTTCTTTTGCACCCAGCTGCGCGTTAGAACCATCCACTCAAAAAATGTGTGTCCTAACCCTTACCGCAACCATAACCCTGAATCAAACATAAAAATTGTGCTAGACATAACATTTTCAAATACTATATTTATGCAAAACATACATTTTTGGTGCCATGGGTGGTTATGGTTAGGGTGAGGGTTATTTTATTGTGATTGGGTCTTTTCCACTTGCAGCTGGGTGCAAAAGAAACAGATCTCGAGGGGGGAACACATATCGACATAACACCGGCACCCAGCATGTTTTAGCTGTTTCCCTACTCCAACACACTGCTCAGCAGCTCACCATGTCATGCAGAAGACTGTTAATCACCTGCTGATTGAAATCAGGTGTGCTGAAGCAGGGAAACAACAAAAACATGCTGGATACCAGCCCTCTGGGAAAGGAGGTGGGAATCACTGATCTAGAGGAACCGTGAAAGTTCAGGCTTCTGAACTAAAAGTATTTTAATGGACCAGAAAAAAACATCTGTATTCGCTCCACAGAGACTAACTTGAAAGACCATTAGAATACTGAACTCGGCTGATCTGAAACAGCCATGGCCCTGGTGACTTTAATTCATGTTATTGTTGAGAAAAAGAGTCAGGCTTGGCATTGCTCATCAGAGTGAAAACCTGGAAAAGAGCTGAGCTCGGAATCCCAACTTCTGAATGCCCGGAACGCAAGAATTGTCATCCTCCATGTGACAGTCAGCCTCCCCCTGCTCGTTAGCTGCGTGCTGATCACAAGCACACCTGGACATGCTCACCTGTGTCTTTCTTTTTCTCGTGGTATGTGTAGACAGCTCCGGCCGTGCAGTTCTTTCCATGACGAGTCATCTTCTTCTTCCCGAAAGTAACCAGTCACTTAAAAAGCGTCAGTGTCGCATAAGCTAATGTTGTTAGCATTAGCCGAGATGCTAGCCGCTACGTAAACACAACCACCTCACACGCAAACTGATGTCGTTGATTCCAACCAACACGTCCACGTTAAACTACCAAAGCTGCTGTAGAAACCATCAACTTAATATTGTTAAAATACTTTAACTAAATTAATCAGAAGTCATATTTTGTTCAGGGTTCAGACCGTCTGCTTCTTCTGTGGTTCATCGGCAGCTGGCGTCCCACACAGTACTTTTCTGCCCTCTACTGGATAACACATTCTTCTTCTTCTTCTTCTGGTGTTTTATTGGCGGTTGGCAAATAACGAATGGTGCATTACCGCCACCAACTAGTGTGGAGTGTGGTCTGGAACAGCGCTCACAAAACAAAATCAAACAGGGGAAAAAAAAAAAATTATATATATATAAACACACACACACACACACACACACACACACACACACACACACACACACACATATACATCAAATTCTCCCAAACATCCTTATCTCTTTTAAAAACTGAAATAAAATCTGAAAACAGTCACTTTTGGAATCCTGTCTCAATAAATCAATAAGGTCAAGTTTCACTGTCATCCGACTAAGATTTTGAATCATTTTCCTTCTTTCTGCCTGATATTTCTGACAGTGTAATATAACATGATCTATAGTTTCTTCTTCTCCACGATAATCACATTTCCCTGTATTATGTTTCCCTATTATGAATAATGTATTGTTTAACCCAGTATGTCCAAACCTCAGTCTAGCAATGATCACCTCCTCTCTCCTACTCCTTCCAGTGTTTCTCATTTCTCCTACTCGTCTTTGAATTTTATACAACCATCTTCCCCTCCTTTCCTCCTCCCATAGTATCTGCCATTTTTCTTCATTTCTTGCCTTTTTATGCTCTTTATCTCTGTTTGACAAAATTGAATACCTAACTGAACCGATGTATTTATTGTTGCTTCCTTAGCCATCTTATCGACTCCTTCATTTCCTCTGATTCCATAATGAGCTGGAATCCATAAAAAATATATATTAAGTCCCATCGTGTTTTTTCTATAAAGTGTTTGCTGAATCTCTATGAGTATGTCTGGTCTGCTTCCTGAATGGCTGCACTTTAAACTGGTTAATGATGAGCTGGAGTCTGAACAAATAACTGAGAATAATGGTCTGTTTTCTTCCACCCATTGAACAGCTAACAGTATTGCGAGCATCTCTCCTGTGTATACTGATAATCCATCACTAACCCTTTTCTTAACTTTAACATGAAACTCTGGAACAATAAAAGCTTTTCCAATATGATCTGCAGTATTCTTAGATGCAGCTGTATGTGAGTTTAGTATGAATGACCCATCCTTATTCTTTCTCTCTAATAATGTTAAATCAACAGACACCTCAGGAAGAATCAATGGTGGAATAGTAGGTAATGGAACTCTTCGACTGATTTTAAACTGATCTAATTCAAGTTCTACTGGTTTTTTGATCATCATCCATCCAAAACTGTTTGTTTCCTTCTTTTCTTTCTCCCAGCAAGGTTTTAGTATGTCTTGTGTTGGATGATCTTCTCTCTGACCCTGAAGATTTGCCCAATAATTTAAAGCTATTTGTTCTTGTCTGATTTCTATTGGCATCTCACCCATCTCTACCTGTAAAGCTGCTATTGGGGTTGTTCTAAATGCTCCTGTACAGAGTCTCAGTGCCTGATTCTGGATATAATTTAATTTTAAAAGAGTAGTTTCTGCTGCTGAATTATATGCTACACACCCATAATCTAACACTGATCTGATCAATCCATGGCCTTCATAGATTTCCTGTCTGCACCCCATTCACTCCCAACTAAACACCTCATTATATTTAGAACCTTTTTACTCTTCTCCATTATACTCTGAATATGTACACCCAAAGTTATCCTTTCATCAAACCATACAACTAAAAATTTAAATTTATTTATCCTTTCTAACTCTTGACTATATAATTTAAGTTTAAGATCCTCTCTTACCTTTTTCCTTGTAAAGAACATCGTCTTAGTTTTATCTACCGAGAATTTAAACCCCCATTTGTATGACCATTCCACCACTTTGCCTATTGCTTCTTGAAGTTTCTTTACAATAAACTCTACATTTTTCCCTCTTTTCCATATTGCCCCATCATCTGCAAAAAGTGAAAACCCCATCCCATCTTTTATACCACTAAAAACATCATTTCAGAAAATAATATGGGCTGGATAACACCTTGAATAGTGAGCCCCCAAAATGACAGGGTTCGAAGCAAAATCAATAAGCTATTAAGTTAAACAAATTTATAAAAACAAGGCAAAGAAAGTTTAGTATTAGACGATTTTAATTTATAAATATGACATTTAGATTTGGTTAAATCAGGGATGATTTTTCAGAAACCATAAAGGTGATTGTCTTATCATGTACTGTGGTATAATGTAGGATATACAAAATTTTTCTGCTAAGCCTGCCCCCTGTCCCGTAGAGCTCCTTCAAACTCTATAAAATAAAAATGTAACACAACATAAGTGAGCATAATAATTGTAAATCATGTGCTTTAGCTCTGCTTTGTCAGCTAGAGGAGCTTGTTCATGAACAGACCATCAACATATAAATATTGGATAATGGGTTTCCATAGGCTCCAATAACACATTTTTGAAGAGAAATGGGAGGTGGGCACCACCGCCATTTTGACCGCGTCACAGGTTCCGTCAAGCCCAGACAATTCCACAAAAGGGAAGAGAGGTGGAGCTGAGGGTGGGGCTGTAAGGCTGGGATCAACTGACGACACCCGGTTGAACTAGCTACAAGCTAACCCAAAGCTAATGCGGAGGTGGGAGCTAAGCTAACGGAGGTAGCAACCTAGCTACAACCGGAGTTAACTGTGCACAACACCAGAGCTTCTGAGTCACCCCCAAATTCCACTACCTCCGCTCCGCTCCGCTCCGCTCTGCTCCGACACGAACGCCGGAGCAAAATCGGTCCCGTTGTAGTCAATCAGAGCAATTCCACTACTGCGGCCGTGCTCCGGCAGTGCGGCGCCGTGCGCCGCCCTCTGTTCCGGTGTCCGGCAAAAATAGAATCGATCCTATTTTTGCCGGACGCCGGAGCACCTCCGCAATCAATGGACAGAAATCACAACGGCCCAACAGGAAAAGGAGCAAGCACAACTTCCGTTTTTCACAATAAATCGATATACAAAAGGCGTTTTTTGTTTCATATGCACAGGTTTAACAACTTTTAACAACTATCAATGGCGGCTGAACTTTAAATGCCCAAAAGTAAGCCATAAATACAGTTTCCACTATCAAAGCAGTCACATTTTGTTGATCCAAACACTGCTGATCTCAACAAAAATGATGGGCAGATTGAACAGCTCATGTCGATGCTTCTCCCACACAACGGGTGTTTGGATCTAACTTCCGCGTTTATTGCTCGGACTGTATCGCAAGATCTTGAAAATCCCGCGCATGCTTGTTTGCCCACCTCAGGTCTCCGCACCAGAGCGGAGCCGTTGTAGAGCGCGTACCAGTAAAAATTGAGTTCGGAAGCGAGCGGCTGCGGAAGGCGGGGGCGGACCGCAGCGGAGCGGAGCGGAGCGGAGGTAGTGGAATTTGGGGGTCAGAGATACGCCGGGCTGACTGCTGGGGAGAACCAGGTGGAAAGGTTTCCATCCCAGAGCTCCACAAGCCGGCAGCCCGCACAGCAGACAGAAGCCGTGATCAGACAGAGATGCGCCGAGCTGGGGGGAGGGGAGAACCGGGTGGAAAACATCGGTCTCCCGAGAGCTCCACAAGCCGATAGTGGGAACCCAGCTCCACCAACATGTTATATTTCAACCCATTTTCTAAAGTGCAGCATTATGTTAAATGCACTGGGTTTTACCCTATTACATTTAAATTTCATGGTTAAACAGTACATGTTAAAAACTAAGCTCAGCTTGGCAGTGACCTAAAATACATAAATATAATTTTACTTACTGAAAAAAATGAAACGGAGACTCCATGGATGCTCTATTAGTGCAATTAATGCCACAGCAAGTCATTTTGTCCAACAATTGCACAAAAAATATCCAAAAAAGAATACACAAACGGCACAACTAATGGTCTATGTTGAAAGACTGAAACTGATGGAACAGTTTTCAGGCTGAGGCCTTTCCACGGAGCTAGCTCTGTGGTCACGTGGGTATGATGCTCATTAATTATACAGAATTTGAGGCTTTAATACACTTAAACAGAAGAGTGAGAAAAAATTCACCCCCCTCAGAGTTGTCATGAGTGTAAACTAGATCATTTAAACAAAAAACATGTTTTGGTACCAGGCTGTAAACATGATTATTTCTGCTGTAAAATTGGTATTTTTAACATGGGAGTCAATGAGGATTTGCTCGCTTCTGACACCAGCCCCTAGTGGATGAGGGTGGAACTGCAATTTATTTCATTTCCGCATTGGCCTCAATTTCTGTCCCGCATTGTGGGGACTTGGAACAGAGGCGCTTCTGTAAATACGGAAGCATAGGGAGCCTAAGTCTCCTCCCTTTCTGGTCGGCTCATGGGTCCCCGGAAGAACGAAAAAATTAATGCAAGTCAACGGAGCTAAAAACGCTATTTTTCTAATCCGCTTTGCTTTACGCCCTGGATCACACATTTGCTGTGCTGCATTTTAAATTAAAAGTAGTCAGTCACGTACTTTGAGATTCATCAGCTTGTAAAAGATCATAGCATGACTACAGAAATCGGCATGTCGCCACATAATCTCCTCTCCCCTAACGTAGCTGCCACTTACCAGATGACCAGATTTATGGTCTGCGGGAAGTTTGATGAACTTACATTCCTTTTCCCTCAGTTTTCTCTGTGTCTGGTTTGATGATGTCACTTTCGTGATGCGCACAAGTAGTCCTGGACTTATTTTCACACAAAACCTATAATGGCATTTCCCCTGTTCGAAAAAAAAGCACATTTTTGGTATCAAAATGTGTCATTAAAATTCACGGACATCGTAAGTGAAATCCATGGCACAAAACAAGCGGAATTAGAAAATAGCGTTTTTAGCCCCGTTGACTTGCGTTCATTTTTTTGTTCTTCCGGGGACCCGTGATGCGGAAGTAGATGGGCGTGACTAAGGCTCCCTATTGGCATCGATTTGCTCTTGACATTGGTGGAGACCTATAAATCTACCCCCCACCAACAATTTGTGTTTTACTCTCTTTGATCCATAATAAAACAATAAAGTACGGATTTGCATGCAGTCGATAATTACCGATCT